TTGTTTATGGGGTTTAAAAGCCCTGCATGCCTCACTGGCCACTGCAGACATTCTGAGACAGGCACTTATGCTCTGCTGCCCCTGTAACTTTCTCATTTAGCACACTCGCTAACGTCTGTAATTAGCATAGTCAGAGAGCAAACCTAGCAAAAAACACCCGCACCCTTCAGGCTAGCCTGGAGTAGCACTTAGCATATGGAAAGGCAACACGGCTCTCTGCATGTCTCTCCCTCTCTCTCTCTCTCTCCCTCTCTCTCTCTCTCTCTCTCTATCTCTCTCTCTCCCTGTCTCTCCGTGCCTCTTTTTCTCTTTCTGGTTCTCGCCTCATGTGTGCATGTGGAGAGGGCTTCATTTAACGTAGCATTTGAGCTGCTGTAAATTCATTAGCGGCTGCACTTGCCTAAACTTTGTTTTGTGTTTATGCAAATGTGTATGTAAATAGTTCTATGCTAAACACTTTCTTGTGTGCAGCTTTAAGGCTTCAGTCGCACTATGATGAGTCCTAGTAAAATCGAACAAAATTGTAGCTCCACGAGTTTATCGGCATGGATATCCCGCCATGATAATGCCTTGTTAAAGACAAATTCCACGAATTTCTGCATCATAAAGATGTGAAGTGGTGGTGATAAAGACCAGACATTTGAAGTGTTTAATACCTCTAAAAAGCTCTGTTACAGAAAGTCATTATACAAAAATGGTTACGAATATGCTGCTTGATGCGTTAGTTTTAGTCTAAGGCTGGCGTTGAAAGTTTCATGCAACTTTCGTTGCTTGAAACTCACATGAAACTAAATTGCACTTGAGTTGCATCATGCAAAACGTCCTGCAACTCACTTATAACGCAGCCGCAGCAGTTGCAAGTGTCTCAACTTGTAGCAAGTTACATGAAACCAATAATGCAGCGTGTCAAACGACATACTTTCAAACCATTGATTTCAAGGGATCAGTGGACAACAAAATAAATCATAAGATGGATTATTGGGCGGCTGAAAACCCCCGGATTGACTAAAGGTTGGTTGTTTTTCATTTTCTCGATGCTAATGTTTCTGTAACCAGCTACGTTAAGCAGCCAGCTAATGCTAACAGCTGTTTAAACAGCTGCTTGTTCCACCGTTTATTCTTCTTGTTAGCCTGCTGTTATCATGATGTATGTAGCTAGACTTTTTTTCTCCTCTCTTGATGCTCCCTAATTTTACACAAAACTCAAATTCACTTGGAATTCAAACAATGTGAATTATTACAGCAGAGGAGACAAAGACAAGGTCCACTTTAATAGGGTAACCATAATGGCTACCTACACATTACACATTTTCAAAGGCTTAACATACAAACAACTGACAAAAAACTCACATATATTGTAAAGAACACTGGATAGATGGATAAAGATAGATATACAGATGTGGAAAAAAGTACCGCAATGACATACAAAGCTAAAAGAAATAAGGAAATATGTAAATTACACATCACAGATGACTTTATTGCAAGAACAATACACAGTATCAAACAATATGAGCTACCATTTTGGCTATCTAGTACAGTGTCACATGCAACTTTTATTGTTTTTTTTTATTTTAACTAGCAAGTTGCATAGAAATTATGTTGCAGGCAACTTACGACATGCAACTAGTTGGATTAAAAGTTCCACCGTGTAAGGTCAGCCTAAAACATATTTTTCAAATCCATTCATAGCAGAGAGACACTTGTAGTCCATTGTAAGGCAAAATAGTCCCCAAAGAAAACTTATTTCTTCAGATTTGCCACTATTTTACCATCATCAACCATCCATATAAAACTCAGACGACATGTGTAGGTTCACTGGTGGTTCTGGATAGTAAATTAAAAATGGCGTGGTTACGATCACCACCACTATAAAGAAACTGAGTTGGTAGGTTAGTTTACAAAGAGCCATTTTTTTTGAGTGAACCAGAAAAAAAAAATTAAATTCTCCTTTAAATGTTATATAAGGAACTTGGTGCTATTTTGAACAACAACCAAACGTATTGTTGGGTGCTAAAGGGCAATAACTAACTGAGTTGTGGTAAATAGGCCTTGGGTGAAAAATTTGCTCGGGAACAAACAATGAGAAGCAATCATGTCCAATACTAGTAGCACATACAGATGACATGATACCACTGTTTCCTTTCTGATACTGATATTGAAACTTGTAGTATATAACATTTTCTGCTAATACCCATCGATACTAACACACCAGCCACATAAAAATTGCAGATTCTATACATAAAACTATTAAAAAAGATGGTTCTTCAAGGGTTCTTTAATAAAGACAGTGGTTCTATATACAACCGTGAATACTTAAAGAACCATTTGCATGCTTAAATGGTTCTTTGCATGGTGAAATGGTTCTTTAGATAGATGGGAAAATGTGCTGTATATAGTTCTATATGGAATCTTCTTGAAAATAGTTCTATATAGCAACAAAATGGGTTCTGCCATTGTTACAGTGTCAAGCTTGCAACAATAGCAGAACCCTTTTTGGTAGGCAGCAGAAAGTAGCCTGTAGGTCTATACAGAACCATATACAACACATTCTTCATCAATCTGAAGAACCATTTCACCATGCAAAGAACATTTGAGTGTTCATGGTTCTTCATAGAACCACTGCCTTTGCTAGAGGACCATTGAAAAACCGTCTGTAAATAAAAAAGGAGGGCGAGTTATCATATGCTTATGATATGAATACTTTAGATGTCAATAATAAAGCACAAAAGTAAACAATCTAACTTTACAGAAGAAGAAAAAAACATTCTTAACTTGTAATGGAAGCTTTTTCCACCAAGTATTTTTGGACCAATGTATTTTCTAATGGCCTTTCAATTATGAAATTTTGACAAAACTTGGATTTTGAAATTGTGTAAAAAAGTAAAAAATGACCAAAATGGAGATTCAAGGTTAATAATCATGTAAAGTTGATACAAATAAAAGGTAGTGAAGTTAGCTGTTAGCCTACCTGCTTTGCTTTTAGTGTATAACGACAAGGGAATATGATTGGTGTGGGAGATTATATATATATATATATATGTATGTATATATATATATATATATATATATATATCTCAATGTTATCAGAACAAAACCTCATATCTCCAAAATGGTAACTTTACAGGAGAAGGAAAAAACATACATTACTTGTAATGTAAGTCAGTGGAACCAGAGTTTTTTCCAAGTAATTTTAGGTCATTTCTTTTTGTCCATTCATCATTTTGGATTATGTCAAAAACTGAAAAATGACAAAAATGGAGCTACAAGGTTTTGTTCCGACATCTGCGAAATATATAAGCAAAGTACTTTTTCCAAAACCCATCCTGCTACCCCATAAAAATGGTCTGCTGTAGTCTCTAAAAGTGGGGTGTGGGGGGGGGGCATGTCCCCTCCATCTACCAAATGTATGACATAGGTTAAATTTACAGTTTCCTTCCAATTTTACAAATTAAACAGTCCATTTTTGACCACATAACAATATTACAAGCTGATTCACGTAACGGTTATTGCCACTCGTAGCTTCTTAAAATCTGCATCCATCTCTGCCCCAGTCTTGACTACAACTCCCCGAGTGAAGAGCTGTCAGTCCTTCAAAATCAAGCGTGCTTGTCAAGCCTGTTTCACACACTCCCTCACTCACTCGCTCGCTCGCCCGCTCACTCACAGGAGCACAGCCCCGCGACTTTTCCTGCATCAGAAATTCAGCAATGCAGCAGAAAGTTGCCTTCTTGCCAAACATGAGTAAATGTTTGTGTGAGTGTTTGTGTGTGGGAGAGAGAGATTTAGACCTCATCTCTCGGCATACGCCTAGAAGTACCCACCACAATTCCGATGACCTTTCAGAGTCCACATTTCATAATTCAGAAACATGCCTTAACTGCCAGCAGAGATAGCAGCGCGCAGCGTGCCGAGCACGGCCGCTGAGATCGGCTGTTTCGGAGCAAATGAGCGCGGCTCGTGGGCGGATTACTGAGTTTCGACTGTGTGGAAGGGCGAGGGGTCAACAGCTACAAGTACTCTCAAAATAAACACCTGTCCCAGGCCTTCCTCTCAACTCCGCAACACACTTACGGACTGCACTGTGCAAAAGTTCGTTTATTTAATTATCAGTCGAACCAGCCATCAAGTTATGCAGTTATTAATAATAAAAAACATGTGCAACTAAACATAATGCAGAGGCCTCAACAGCTAAATATGATATCAGGCTTTAGTCCAGCCTTTTTGGTAGACTTGCTTGGATTTTCAGAGAAGTTTGAACGTTTTCCACTTCGCCAAAGTTCAGTCTTAGATGTTGGTCACACTTTCTGCTTCTCACAGTCAAAGAAGTACATTTAGACTCATCAGTCTGTAAATCTAAAAGACTCAAAGTGGCAGTAGAGTGTAAAAATGATGACATATTTCATATTAAATTTACAGATTTGTTTCATTTTCTAATAAATGTATGTTTTTCTTTTTTCTGGCTCTAAAAAATGAATAGCTTGTACTTAACAGCCATTTTGACCGGACGCTAAAGAAAGAAAAGGGTGGTCCCTGACTTTCACACAGTACTGGACATAGAGTGAGACAAGCCTGACCATCTATTACTTATGGATAGTATGTATGTAAGCAGTTTGGCCTAAATATGAGGATGTAATGAGTTTAAGTTCAAGCTGATTTATCACGATATGTATGTATATATGTGTGTGTGTGTGTGTGTGTGTGTATGTGTGTGTATGTGTGTGTACATCCACGCTCCACATCTCCCACTCTATATGTGCCTCCCTGTTCCAATACAGGAAAGACTCTTTTTTTAGCCTTATACGGTAGAGGCAGTGAGAAAAAAAATACCAGGAAATGTGTTTGGCCAACGTGACTGCGCCCAAAAAACTGCAAGTCCCCCACATCCCCCCCTATCACAGCAAAACAACAGCGCCCCCTGTTGGCCCTCCCGCCCAACAGCAGTCTCCTTCAGTTAAGCCTCCCACTGTTTTTTCCCCCCGTTGAAGCCTCGGCGTACCTACCTCTGGTGTCACGAGGAGTGAGTGGAGAAGAGAACTCGCCCTTCTCGGCGTGGCCCATTCTGAAGAGTCGGCGACCGAGTGCTCATGTCATCCACACACACTTCTGGACAGCGGGGTCTCTTTCCTCGGCGCATTGTCTTTGTCTTTTGTGAGTGCTGTCGGCTTTTTCCCCCCCTCAAGTGTCAGTGTCTGGTGGAAGTTGGTCTGAAAAGAAGTCAAGAGAATATTTTAATATGTGAAGCAATGGACTTAACACCTGTGGCGGGGGGGCATGGAGCTCACTGGACCCCCTCATATAGATATCGACACAGTGGTACTCCAGGGAGTGGTAGATCGAACAAGCTTCAACTCTTGTTTATCTGTCTTTATTTCTAATGTATCCAGTTCATTATCAGCATCTGCACCACCTGCAACAGGACACACTCATTACCTGAAACAGGTAACGTAAACACTGGGGTTAACGTCAGACGCTAGAGGGTGGAGTGAGAGCATCAAGCAGTCTGAGGCGTAAACAGCAACGAGTAAACAAGTAAATTACACAGCAAATTACAAGTCATTTTCCTACATAATGTTTTCAGTAAGGTCCTAAATCTGTAGGGCTGTTTTTTATCCTTTCTCACCATGTTTCAGTCCAACTCCGAGCAAGTGGGCAGAAAAAACTGACAATCAAAAACATATATTACATTTAAATTATATTAAATTTAAATAAATAAATAAATAAGCATAAAACACCTGAACAAAAAAAAAAAATCATCTCTTCTGAACCACAAGCCGGAGCAGCGCTGCTGTGAAGAGGCTCTAAGATAAACAAGACACAGGTGAGGGGAATGATGTCTACGAGGTTCAACGGTTGTTTTCTTTTTTTCTTTTTTTTTTTAAATGACCGCCTGTTATCGTTTGTGTGTGTGTGTGTGTGTGTGTGTGGTATTCCCCTCACGCGCGCGCTGCTGTCTCTATGTAGGGCGCTCGCGCAGCAGGTGTTGCGCATTCAAAGGCTGCCAAAATAGAACCGATTATTATTTTCTCTCGCGCTTTCTTTCTCTCCGTCTTCTCCGCCTCTCTCTACCTCTCTCTCTCCCTCCCATCTTTCCAAATAACTGGATGACAAGAAGTTACGAGTCCTTCTTCTTCAGTCATGTGAGACGAAATGATGAAGGAAACAGAAGAAGGAAGGAAGGAAGGAGGGAAAGAAGGGAAAGGAATGAAAGAGAGGGAATGAAGGTCGACCGTTTGTTTTTGTAAAGAGAGAGAGAGAGGGATAGAGATAAAGAGAGAGAGAGAGAGAGAGAGAGAGAGAGAGATACCTGAACTTACCTGGTGTTAATGTCCTCTGTTCTTCTCTCCTTCATTCTCCTCGTCCCTCCTCGCGCAGCTCCGCGCGGGAGCCGCTGTAAATCCACCGTGTCCTCGCGCGCTCACCGCGAGCATGACGAGCCGGAGCGGAGGAGAGAAAAAACGGAGAAAAAAGGAGGAAACAAGGCGATTTGTGAGAGAAATGTGAGGATTGCTGAGAGGAATCCGGACAGACCGAGTCTGTAAATGTTGTTTTTGTCCTGGTTTCTGGTTCCTCCTCGGAGTGTCGCGCGCGTTCCGCAGTGTTACAGGTCCGCGCGCCGCTTCTGAGGGGGATTCCGTCAAGATCAGACCCTCAGAACAGACACTCACACTCACACTCACACACACACACACTCACACACACACCACTGACAGAGAGAGAGAGAGAGAATTCACCGCGCGAGGAAACGACGCGGCGCGAGACGCTGAGGAAACTTCACACGTCGATACAGGTGAGGGAGCTCGCGCGCGTGTTCTCGTGGCGGTGTGTTTTCCTCCTCCTCTCTCTCCTCTCAGTGGTCAGGTTCTCGGGTTCTCAGTGGTCAGGTTCTCGGGTTCTCGGGTTCCCTGCAGCCGAACTCCAGTCCGAGCTTCTGTGTCTCCTCCTCGCGCGATCAGCGGCCTCCCTCCTCCGGCTCCGTCTCTCCTCGCGCCGGGCTCGTGTAGACTGAACGCAAAACGAGCACGCGCTCCTGAACCAGTGTGTGTGTGCGAGAGAGTGTGTGAAGGTGGAGACTGACTGGTGAGTTTGTATTCGGCCGTTTTGGGGACCTTCTGGATTTGAATGGCGAAGCAGAAGCTCCTCAACTTAAGAGTTCACATCAGACAGAGCCTCTCTCTCTCTCTCTCTCTCTCTCTCTCCCTATCTCTCTCTCTCCCTCTCTCTCTCTCCCTATCTCTCTCTCTCCCTATCTCTCTCTCTCTCTCCCTATCTCTCTCTCTCTCTCCCTATCTCTCTCTCTCCCTCTCTCTCTCTCTCTCCCTATCTCTCTCTCTCCCTCTCTCTCTCTCTCTCTCTCTCTCTCTCTCTCTCTCTCCGTATCTCTTTCTCTCTCTCTCTCTCTCTCTCTCTCTCACTCTCTCTCCTTCTCTCCCTATCTCTCTCTCTCCCTATCTCTCTCTCTCTCTCTCCCTATCTCTCTCTCTCCCTCTCTCTCTCTCTCTCCTCCCTCTCTCTCTCTCTCTCTCTCTCTCCCTTTCTCTCTCTCTCTCACACACAATCTCTCCTTGCTCTTTGTCTCTCTCACTCCCTCTCTCTCTCTCTCTCCCTCTCTTTCTCTGTCTCTCTCTCTGTGTGTTTCTCTGTCTCTCCTCGCTCTCCGTCTTGCTCTCTCCTCTATCTTTGTCTCTCTTTCTCCCTCCTCACTCTCTCTCTCTCTCTCCTCTCTCTGCCTTGCTCACTCCCTCTCCCTATCTCTTACGGTCTTGCTCTCTCTCTGTCTCTCTCTTCCTCTCTCTATCTCTTACTGTCTTGCTCTATCTCTCTCTTTCTCCCTATTCCTCTCTCTCTCTTTCTCTCTCGCTCTCTCCCTCTTTCTCAGTCTGTCCTGCTCTCTCTCTCTCTCTCTCTTTCTCTCTGTCTTGCTTTCTCTGTGTGTCTTGCTCTCTCCTCTCTGTCTTGCTCTCTCTCTCTCTCTCTGTCTGTCTTGCTTTCTCTGTGTGTCTTGCTCTCTCCTCTCTGTCTTGCTCTCTCTCTCTCTCTCTCTCTCTCTCTCTGTCTTGCTCTCCCTCTCTGTCTTGCTCTCTCTCTTTCTCTCTCTGTCTGTTTCTCTGTCTTGCTCTCTCCTCTCTCACTCCCTTTCTCTGTCTATATCTCTCTCTCTCTCTTTCTCTATCTCGCTCTTTCTTTCTTTCCCCCTTGCTCTTTCTCTCTCTCTCATATTCTCTTTCTCTTACTCTCATTCCCTGTCTCTTGTTCTCTCTCTCTCTCTTTCTCCCTGCACTCTCTCTGTCTCGGATTTTCTTGTCTTTGTGGGGTCTCTCCATTGACTCTTCTATTACTGCAGTCAAACACTGCTCTGTCCAGACTAGTCACAAGTCCCCACAATGATATCCTGTTTTCCATCATTCTGGGGATGTCTGGTCCCCACAAAGCACTAAATACAAACACCCACACACAAGCTTGTATTCCTATGGACTTTTTCCATTGCCTTCAGTATTACAGCCAGTGAACACTGCTGAGCTACACGCTTAACCCCAACCTGACCTCAACCTCAGCCACCCTTTGGGCCCTTTTACATCTGTTACCGCTTCACGGTTTATATAGTGTTTGAAAAGGCTAAGAGAAGACCGGTATGGACCACTCAACGACCCCACAATGTCACCCCGTCCTCCATTTTGGGGACACTTTGTCCACACAAGGATCCAAATGCACGTCCACACTCACGCATGCATTGCAGGCTCAAATAATCATGAAACCCATAAACATTTCCGTGCACTCGGCGAGCGTGTCGAAAGTGTGCAAAGTATCGGAACGTAAAGCGGCGCAGTAAATCAGAATCGCTCGACGCCCCAGTAAACAAATCATTTTCCAGCGCGATGTTGCGAGCTATAAGCCTTGCAGCATGGTTTGAGGGAGCAAAATAGTTCAATCAACCGTATCCCGTCTGTCTCAGTGATCACAGTCGAATCAGCCTACTCCGTTTGAGCTGATAATTGGTGGTTTACTGATATGACTCACACGCTCCCAGCTGTGTAGTGTAAGTCTCAAGATATGCTCGAGAGTGATTCCCCAAATCATACAATTAAGCCAGTTTAGATTCCTAATTGCTTAATCAGATGTAATGAGATCAATCAGCACTTCGGGGACAAAAAGAGCCACGTGCAGCATATGCACCTCTCTTTCCTTCTGTTTGCAGAGCCAGACCGGAGACACCGGCAGTGTCACCTACTCGCATGTTTCATCAAGGTCAAATTATAGATGCGTGTCATGGATCTGCCACTGTGCTCTTACAGGACAAAACAAACAAGAGTATAAATCATGTGGATTGGCTCACTGCAATTGTCCGATTAGATGTTTGGAATTCAGTCCATAAAAACAATAATAAAGTACATGCAATATGCTTTCTCTGCGAGGACTGTGGAAGGGTATTGTACTGTCAAGGATCTGAGGCTATGCTATGATGGAGAGTCCTGATGATGTTTTTCATTGTATATATGATTAAATGTCTACTGAACAACATAAAATCTTGCCTATTTGAGTTAGAATTTGAGATTGCCGAGGAATTAATTATTGGAGCATCACATGAAACCAATAAGTCAGTTCGTATAAATATATACTATGTACGTATGTCAATATATACCAATGATTGAGTTCAGGTGTATAAAATCAAGCACATAGCTGTGCAATCTCCACTGGCCGTGAAATAGGTTGAACTAAAAAGTGCAAAAATTTTAACGTGGCATTGTCATAGGATGCCTGTGCATTTTCTGCCTTGCTAGAGCTGCCCTAGACAACTGTAAGTGCTAAGTGCTTGATTTTATATACCTGAACTCAATCATTAGAACATATTTATATACATACATAGTATATATTTATGTGACTTTAATGTGGCACTGTAATAAGATGCCATCTTTGCCACAAGCCTGTTCATTACATTTCTGTCTTGCTAGAGCTGCCCTGGACAACTGTAAGTGCTATTATTGTGAAATGGAAGTGCCTAGAAGCAACAAGAGCTTAGCTTAACGAAGCAGTAGACCGCACAGACTCACTCACCAAAATCCCTGTGCCATTACTTACTACAGCGTTCCAAACTTCCTCTGGAAGCAACACCAGCTGGAGCTTTATAAAATGGGTTTCCATGGCCAAGCAGCTGCACACAAGCCTAAGATCACTATGCACAATGCCAAGTGTCGGCTGGAGTGGTGTAAAGCATGCTGCAACTGGACTCTGGGGCAGTAGAAACGTTCTCTGGAGGGGTGAATCACTCTGATGGACAAATCTGGGTTTGGAGGATGCCAGGAGAGCGCTATCTACTGGAATGCTTGGTGACGACAGTAAAGTTTGGTGGAGGAGGGATAATGGGCTGGGGCTGTTTTTCAGGGTTTAGGCCCCTCAGTTCCAGTGAAGGGTGATGTTAACGCTACAGCATACAAAGATATTTTAGACAGTTATAAGCTTCCAAATTTGTGGCAACAGTTTGTTGAAGGCTCTTCCTTGTTCCTGCGCACCACGCAAGGTCCATAAAGACATGGTTTGACTAGTTTGGTATGGAGGAACAGTGGCCTGCACAGATCTCTGATCTCAACCCCACTGAACACCCTTGGGATGAACTTTAAGCCAGACCTTCTTGTCCAACATCAGTGCTTGACCTCACAAATGCTCTTTTGACTGAATTTACAGATGCTGTTTTAGCCGTAATCCATATTAATGTCCATGGTTTTGGAATGGGATGTCCACCGAGCTCATCTACATGTGATGGTCCACATATTTGCTGTGACTGGCTCACATCAAGCAATAGGTACACCTACTATGGCGCTTCAGAATGGCAACACTTAGGGCCAGTTTTGTGGATTATGTCTTGGTCTAAACCACAGTGTCATTGGTGCTTTACCATTAAAATCCTATTTAGTCTAGGTTTAGGCTTAATCTAGGTCTGAGAAACCAGCTCTTAATGCACTTGCATATCAACCAGAAGCAAAATAGCTCTCTTTGTTTGAGGACCTCTCCATCCGAAATAGTTAGATAACGTGAATAATGTAGAATGTCTTGTAGGAACCTTGTTATTCCCAGTTGTGCAATTATTACTGGTCTTGCAAGCTTGGTCAGGTTTTAAATTTGGTTTCAGTGGTCCTGACCAGCCAACAGAAAAATCTAGATTTTGTACACAAAGTCCCCCCGTTCATGCCTTATTGTTTGATTCCAGAGAAATGAATGATTGACCAGATTCCATCACGGTGTCAGTGTCTGTTAGGCGGTGTCACGGCCCTGAGATAAATCTTGATGTCAGATTGCTGACCTGGAAACTTTTCAGTGTAAGCTCCCATTTTCTAATCCCGCTAAAACATATGGGAGATAACATTTCTGCATGATTTCACCCTGTAAATCAGCACAATTTATTTTTAAGCCAATTCGAAGCT